TATGGGGCAAGCCATTTCAAATTATATAATATAATCTTGTGTAAGATAAGATACCTGATGTAAACGCGACGTCAGAGGTAAAGAGAAAAGAGTGCGACCGAATTGCAGATTCATCTTATGGAAGTTAGTGCATGTGCAGGAAATGCAAGTACATGCAGTGCAGGGAAAATGCACGACAGCTGCAAGGACAGATTCCACGTTGTGGAATGAGTAGAAATGCTATGATTGGAGGGAAAAAGCAGGTTGGGCTCATTAGGTATCGAGAATGAGATAGAAATAGTCGAGAGGAGCATAACGACATGTTGGAAGGAATGTGAACGCGCAGGATATCGCGAGAAAGACGTTTTTGAAATTACCTGGAATTGAGAGGAACTGAGCGGGAGTGCTCGAGATTGCACGATCTTTGCAAGAAAAGGATGAAAACTGCATGACACATTCCAGATGCAAAATCATAGAATTTTAAGTACAATCGCAGTGTAGTTGGGAATGAAGGAGTAGAAAGTATACAGAAAGAAAGAGATTATGAAGAGGAGCAGAATGATAGGTACATTGCCGTATGAGACTGTGATGTAGGAAGAACAGGAGCGCTTGGAAGTTGGCCGTTTGAACGTTTTAACGCACTTCTTCGAACAACGATTATGTTTGCTCTGCTATTTAGTTATAGATAGGTTTCGTTTTCCCCTTCGAAATGTTCTATCGGGGAGTCATGGCGGGGATCGTGGGGGGAACGATGGTGGGTCATACTTCGAGGAACGTTTGTTGTAGATTGTTATGGTAGATGGTTTGAAGCAGTCGGATATTTATGAACAAAGAGGGGTTGTCCAACAACTCATCACATTCTTCCAGCCCATCGGAACTGACTCGATAAGCTCTATCACATACACCATCAGTGATGGTCCATCACCACACCCATCAACCTGGTCACTTCTGGAGCAAGAACACTGCCAAGAGAAGACATTACCATCCAGGGAGTATGGCATTACTAGTGAAACGGCCAGATGGGTACAGTCAGAGCTTCTGCCGCAGAGCACACGCCTCCCGTAAGGTTCGTGATGGCAGGTCTGAGAATTCTGGAGAGTCTGGTTTGGATTCGGCCCAAACCGTTCGGGCCTCGAACTGCTGATAGAGAAGAGGTGTTTCGGAGTAGTTGCTCGGTCTTCTTCGCAGCGGCACGATTCGGCAATGAGATGTCATGATGACATTGTCATCCTCAATCGTTATTCGGTCTGCAGACTCGTCCAAACCCTCGGTGGCCTCGGAGGCCACCGAGGGTTTGGGTAAATGTACAATCTCAACCACCGTTGCGTTTAGGTAGCCTGGGTTTACGACGTGCGTATGTTTTACGACCGACTTGATTTTTTAACTGCGCTTTATCCAACGCCAAATTTTTGAAGTGAGAGTTTTGCCTTAGCACCCATAGCACTACACACAGCGGTAGAGATCTATCTGGTGGAACTGCTAGAGGGCCTGTCCTATGTTAGTGGCGATTCATGCTTAGCCGGGCACACTCATGTCCAAAGTAATGGCGACGAAAAGTCATCGTCACTGTGTTGAGGCTCCAAAATATCCCACTTAGGCTATGCTAGACAAATATTTCAAATTATGAAAACAGATGGATAATTTATCATAGATTCATAGAACCTTCACTTGCTATCTACACTTTCCACGAGTACTTCGGTTTATGAGTTCACAGAGTGGTGAAAGAATTGATACTTCTTGAGGTGTGAGATTTCAATAAGAGGGGCCTGGCTCTTGAAGATATGATATATAATATTTCATAACACATGCACGGGTAGTAGGATCATAAAGAGGCAGCTGAGCTGCCGCAGCTTCTTCAGCTGATGATCGATTCATGTCAGGAATCTCGTCATCTTTTGGAGTCGCTGGCTTGAGCTCATTACTTTCTTAAAGGCTGGCTCGTGCTTTGCACAATAGTGGTGATATTCCTCTTCAATATCTACCAGGCCGTCTACGAGACCATTACTTTTCAGACTAGTTTGAGTCACATTTGATGCTCATCAAGCTATAACCTCTTCAGGTGTTGATTATAGTCAGTAATTATAAGTTGAATTGATCGTGGCAGAGGGCATTCATGCCGTTAGAACCACCGATCGTTGCTCTTCGACTTGAAGAGCTTGAAGACTTCAAGCACACTTGGTAAACTTCTTACTTCACTTGTGAAGCTGGCAGTGATTCTCGCAGCGAGCGGCTCCTGGTGCATATTTGTGATTTCTGGTACAGATTGATGATACGAGTTACAAAGCACTACAGTTGCTAGTGACAGACGATCTCGATTGCAAATTATCCCACACTTCAGTGAAGTGACTTCACCATCAGAGTTGGAAATTCCAACTCTGATGGTGAAGTTTCATCGAAGGGAGTTTCATCCATTCCAACTTGGAATGGGTGAAACTCCCCTCGTGCAAGCAGAATAGGCCATGATCTGCCCAACCACAAAAGGAGCTGTTTAGCTATTTGACTCGCTAATAGGGCCTGTTGGCAGATATGACAGATTGAGTGGGTACTAGCATCCAAAGACCGTACTGTTCCTGAGTGAAACTTGTCCTTGATTGTAATTGTCATGCAGGGTTAACATATCATCTCAGTCAAACATCACGAGGTCTCTCATCCGCTTCCCCTGCTGCTCGGAGGAGCTTTCGACGGCGAATACTTTCTAGCAGAGCCTTGGACTTCTCGTATGCAGAGAGCACCTGATAACGCAGTCTGCCCGCATTGCGGTGTGCTGTTCGAATGGTTGCATGACCGGATAACAAATAATTCGTGGGCTTACCTTCGATTGCTCATCCTGACCCTCCTTTAAAATCTTCGAAACCACATCTTGAGTAGCGCCGTGAACTTCCAACTCTCTGGAGCCACCAGTAGCAGCTGAGTCGTAGCCTTCAAGATGCTACGTAGGTGGAAAGAGGAGATTCAGAGAGACAGAAGATGTGATGCCTCAGTCCAACAGCTATGCATTCGCAATGAATCGTTTGTTCTCTTACAGTAGGTTCTGGTCCGTATGCAATCGTATAATGGCTACTCTCACTGGCGGCCAGACCAGGACCTGCTTCACTGTGCCTCGCGACATAATTCTTGCTGATTGACCTACCACTCGTCCGCCCATATTGAGGCCCTATGCTATGAGATGATACAGCTGAGACGGCTCCTTCAGCTGAGGCTACTGGAGTACTTTGCTCCAGATCTCGACTCGGATCTAAGAGCGTGGACTGCCCATTGAAAGCAAGTCGCCGTCACTCTCGCTTTGTGGTATAATGGGGCGCCCCATCCTGTTCTGCTCGATGCTCGGAAGCTTCGTCGTGGGAGGTTGTTGGGGACGTGTATATACCCTATGAATTGCTTTTCGTATGATATCCGGAGAGTTATGAACTTACTCGTTGTAATCCAGTCTGAGCAAGAGCTGCGAGAGGGAATGAGCTCTCTCACTACTGGTGAGATGCATGTCGTCTAAGAGTGATATTAAATCTCGAACTCCGATGATGAACTTCTCCTCCAACGATCTCAGTGCCTTGCTCAACCGTTCGTTCGGCAAAGCGTCATCGAAGATGCCTTGTTTGCCCAGCGCTGACAACTTCATACAGGCTCGGCTGAGCTTATCAATGGATGATCGAATCCTCCGGGATCGAGGATTGGATTCAAGGAAGCACTTCGATACAATGTCGTCGAGGAAAGCACGATGCGCCCGGACGATGCCGTCGAATTCGGTCGTCGAAAGCGACACCTTCTTAACCATCTCTGCATATCTAACGCTTATGACGTCTATCGTGAAGTACTGGATCACGGTGGACAGCCAAGCAGCCATCCGAGCCCTCACAGCAAGGATGTGACTCAACCACGGGAGTGCTCTGATTTGTCGTTGCTTCCGCGAAACTCTAGTAAGAGTCTGCCAGAGCGTATCCAATCCAAGGGCTGAGTGTCGCAACGAGAGGAGAGAGCGAAATATGATTGAATACTTAGTGAACTCATCGGTGCCGATGATAAGCGGCAAGGGCCAGGGAAGCTCGTAGACGATGACCACTCGATCGAGCCATGTGCCGCCAACACCACCACCTCGCGACTCCGAGCTGGGTTGAATGTGTGACCATTTGCAGATCTCCAAGTACGAATTCCCATTCGCGGAGTCGGTTGTACATATTCCCACAAAGCAGCAACCTAGACCGTCGAGCTTCCAACCGCTCTGTGAGCCCGATGTGACCAATGAAGATGTAGTAGGGAGCCGAAACTCGCAGATGAGTACCTCGTCAATCTTCACTGCACCAGTCGTGACGGTTAAAGTATGCGTCCTTAGAAAGTCATCTGCTGTTGTGCGATACCCGGGGCTTACAGACTTCCCTGCTGCTAGCACGTTGGGCATGCGATTACCTGAAGGCAGTTTCGAATGAGCGATCGAATGAGAGTCGAGTGATCGTGCTATATGATAGTGAAGCAACCCGAAATGATTGATAGAAGGGAGGAGGCTCCTGCGAGGAGCTCAAAAGGAGTACGTTACCCTCGTTTGTCAGTACGACCCTGACCTCGAATTCAGTAGTGTTGGATGTTCCCAGCACTGCTGGTACAGCTCGAACTTCAATCCCCAGGGAAGTCGGGAAGGCAGAGTACATGAAAAGTTGACAGAAAGGATCGGCGGCCACGAGGGTATGAACAAAATAAAGTGATGATGAGTTCATAGTCCGGCAATAATCACTTTATATGGCCACTATATTAGCCGAACTAAGACGGAAAACTTGGAGATAAAAGGTCTTACCAGGGCTTTCCATTTGGCTGAGAAGACCAGCCAGCTGATCCAACGACGATTTCCGACGGTGAGTGAATGTGTTGATAGAGGACGACGAAACTAAGGAGGAATTTTCCAGAGGCAGAAGCTGTTATAGTATCTCTACTAACCTCATAGAGCCCTCCTTAGCACCAGAAGATGTGGTGGAGTTCTCTGGCCCGATGAATTCAATTTCAGAGCAGAATTTCCCACGGGCCACCAGCTGACGATTAGTCGCCCAACACTGGCCACTACTGCCGAGCCGAAGTAACTCAGCTGCACCTGGAGGAGATCGTTCGAAAAGCTCTTTAGGTCAACACAATATGAGGCACCTTGACCACCAAGTCTTGCAGTCCCGACCAGGCATAAGCTGGACTTGCAAGCCAACTCCCAATCGATGACCGGAACTGCACCAGCTGACTGCTTCGTAACTGATGATGGGCG